TGCTCATTGAAATCAAAAACGGATGCACTAAAATGACTAAATTATGTACTTAAGTGTTGTCTACTTGTACAAAATCAAACGAAAACTGTAGGAGAAAACCATTTTAAGGGAATTTCACAGAAATTTCAAATTTATAGTAACCAAGGCAACGACCTTCATTGAAATCAAAAACAGATGCACTAAATATGTATCTCAGTGTAGTCTACTTGTGTGCTAAGTTATATCGAAATCAGACCAAAACTGTAGGAGGAGTAGCATTTTGAAAAATATTTCACAGAAATTTCTATTTTTAGTAACCATGGCAACACTGTTCATCAAAATCAAAAAATTGGTGCATTAGTTTAATATTATCCTATTGTATTCTATTTGTGTGCCAAGTTATACTGAAATCAGACTAAAACTAAAGGAGGAGAAGTGTTTTAAATGAATTTCACAGAAATATCTATTTTTAGTTACCAAGCAACCACGTTCATCGAAATAACAAAATCGATGCACTAGTTTATGTATCTTAGTGTAGTCTACTTGTGTGCCAAGTAATATTGAAATCATACCAATACTGTAGGAGAAGTTGTATTTTAAAAATATTTCATAAAAATATATATTTTTAGTAACCATGGCAACACCGTTCAACGAAATGAAAAATCGATACACTAGTTTATGTATCTTTTTGTAGTCTACATGTGTGGCAAGTAATATTAAAATCAGACCAAAACTGTAGGAGGAGTAGCATTTTGAAAAATTGTTTACAGACGGACAGACAGACGGACGGACGCCGGACACCTTACCATTGCATGAGTTCTTGTGGTCCTTGAAAATTTACAGTCCTCCTTAAAGTGTAAAATTTACATATGGCTTATTAAAGTGTAGAAATTACCAAAAAAACTTCAATTTTTATTTGTGATTTCTAAAGCTGTCAACTATCATTTGGTAAAGAAAAATTTCATGCATTTTAGTTTTAAAATTTGATCATTTTTGTATATCTTCATCTTCTAAAGGAGATCGATATATTGTTTAAAAATGGCCACGACCCCACAGCCCCTTTAAACAAAATAATGTTTCTGGCATCTGAAAAGTGTTTGTTAAAGACAGACACACAAAAGGGTAGAACTACAGGTGTAACAGAAAAAAAATTAAGCACGGCCACTTTCCATTTGATCCCTCTCCCGAGTCTTCTCCTCCCTTCTTTTCTTCTCTGCCCAGCATACCATAGCCATTAATTAATTATTTCTGTAAGACCCATACCCCTTTTATAATATTAACGAGAAACTAAAATATTTAAAGCAATATGAGCTGCATGTTTGACATCGGAAAATTTTACTGAAAATTTGTAATGACCTCATTTAATGACAGAAAGATTATTTTTAAACGGCTCATATTTCATTTTTTTATCATATGATTCATATCTAAAAGAACTACGCTTATATTAAAACTATATAACTCTCAGAAATATCCCGCCTACATTTTACAGCCATCTTATTCAAGATTAAAATGACAAATTGATCCATAAAATCATTGTTTAAATACAAAGAACTGTTCAATGCTAAATGATTAATTATTTCAATACCAGTGCTTAATAGTCAAATATCCCTAATTCCAGCTCTTGAAATAAGGGGGGGGGGTGTAAACGATATTTTTCACTGAGATCGGGCTATAAAGCATCACCATATTCTGAAATACTGAATAGTCTTGGATATGAATATTAAATGTTTCTTAAATCTTTTCTTTTGTATTATGTATATAAAATTAAGCATATATATTAGTTAAATACAATCACGGTTTCAGTTGTTAAGCACTTGGAAATTGCTGAAAAAATAAGCATTTCTGTCATTTTTTGTCTATAGATATATCCCCCCCCCCCGTTAAACACAAAAAGCTTAGGTATTAATTTGTGAAATGACAGTCCATATTATACGTAAGAAGGATTTTTTTGTTTCACGGGGGGGGGGGGGGGGGGGGGGGGGGGGGGGGGGGGGGGGGTGTTAAAAATCTTTTCCGTTTTCCGTTCATTTCCACGTGAAAAACACGAGTTTTATAAAAATTTTAGAGTTATCTCTCGTTGTTTTCCCAAATAAGAAATGTTTCATGAAAATCCATATAAATATCAATTTATATGTATATATTAAAAATCATTCGAATATCTTAACTTTAGAAAATTGACTTGAAGGTAGGCGGGAGAACAGTACTATCGTTCGCAGTTGTTTGCAAGAAAATATTCAATAATTCACGATTTGAGGTGAATATTTGCATTCATAAATTATATAGAATCTGGAATAGTTGTGAGTGAGTGTTGCTCTTCTCTAATTTAACTTTTCTTTATCTGAACGTAATTCATATTTTTTGTGTTTATAGTTTATTATAATTTATAAAATGTTCATTGAAAGGCTAGTCCCCTTTGATCGTCCCCCTCCCGGAATGAAATTTGGAGGTTGATGGATTAATACATCTCTTTTTAGGATGCTATATAGTTAAAAAAAAAATTCAGGGAAATGTTTTTTAACCCATAACAATGATTATAGCTTAGCCTCCTGTGGAGTACAATTTTCACGAGTCCCTCGCCCTTCTGGCTCCGTCTGGCTATATGTAATTTTCGCGTTTAACGAGCTTTGATGTCGACAGTGAATAAAAATTTCGTCTTATTAGAAGTAAGTTGATTGTGAAAACAATTTATTCTGCCTGCAGTCGCCAGTATTTACAAAATATTTTTGCACTATTACGGAGATGCTGTGGAATTGTAGCCCTCTCCAGAAAATAACAGATAAAAAAAAATCGGAGAGGGCTACATTATTGCAGCTAGTGCAACTAGTGAAGTCACAAGGTCACAGTACAATGTAGTCAGGTACCAACAACAGATTACTGCATAGTTACGGTGCTGCTCAATAATATTCTTTTGCTGATAAAATGCATGTTTTTTAAACTATGAATAAACTATTATTCAGTTTTTTTTTACCGTCTTAAAAATTGAATTAATAATTTTTTTTTTTTTTTTACAAAACCAGGTTGGCTTAGCAAACCCCTCTAGTTTTGACAGATTCTCCAATTTATGTAATCTGTTCTTCAGTTTGAAATTTCATTAATTGTACACGTGTGTTAATATTCCAAGTAATAGTTATTGTATATTTATTATGGTGTATCCTGAGTGTGTCGTCCAAATCAGTCAGGATATTCAAAATATTATTGGCCAATCAAACGTCATGTCACAGATTTTTAGCATGATTTTTAATTACACCAATAGAAAATATAGTTTTTGTCAGGTGACCGCATGGATAATCTCTCCTTCCTGTCAGTATTGTTAATAAACATTTTACGTGCGTGTGTTCATGAGAAAGGACGTCGGATTTCAGCATACCAGCCCCCCCCCCCCTTCCGGATTTCCTTGTCAACTGTTTTGGAGGCCCCCTTTCTTTTAAATGTAGCTACGGACTTAAAGTGGCCGAGTTGTGATTCTGGAGGTGTGATTAGTGCTGCGGGCATGGAGCCCCCCCCCCCTTTCAAAAATTGCTGGATATCGATCCGCTCCTGGATTGTTAATGAAATTCACAAGAAAACCTTTGATATCTCGAAGTTGAAGAAGGTAAATTCAAGTGTTTTTCAAAAAAAAAAATACCCGTTGATCATTTGATATAAGACTATTCACGAAAACGCTGTGTCAGGGTCAATTTTTCATTTTTACAGCTTAAGCCCTATATTACAAAATTGATATTTTAATATATTTCTGTCTGGAATTTTCAAGAATTTGATTTTAGTTACTGTGGATTGAATATTTGAAGACCGTAAAATCATTTCGTAGTTCACTTAGGGATATATACGTACTGTAATTTATGTGAAAGACTTTTATTTCACTTGCAGAAATTTTGCATTTGTATATTACAAAGCCCATTCATTCTGTAATTCAGATTCAATATACATGTAAATTAAAATGATGAAATCGCCGTGGTGTTCAATAATTTATTTACACGGCACAGTTTTGGAATTTCATCGGTGTATCTCCAGTTATTGTACACTTGACTTCAAAGAAAAACACCGCAGCCATGATACAATACATATCGACAGTATATACTCAAGTAAGTTGAATAGCACTAGCTAGGGATTCTGAAAAGAATTCAATTTTTAATTTTCTTTTCACTTTTTAGTGTTTAAAATTTTGCACATTAGTTCAATATACTTGTATCTTGGAAGTCAGCTTGACATAGGACTAAATTAATTAATTGTAGGTGAATTAAAGTAAAGACAACTTGAAGTCAACTGCTTGCATTCCTAAAATTGTCAGATTTAACATTTTTTTAAAGCAAAGTCTAAAGTCTTGTGTTAAAGTTAAATTAAATTGAACACATTTTATTAAAAATTTGTGATGATCGGTCTTTAAAAAAGCTACAAAAAGTACCCCCAAAATGCTGGAAAATGCACCATTTACAACCATTTAAAACAAAATTTTCTCGGGGGAGGCCCCCCGAATCCCCACCTATGGGAGGGGGATACCCCCTCCCATGCCCTCCCGCTTCGGCCCTTTGGGCCTCAACCCCCCCCCATGAACTTCTGGATCCGCCACTGCTTGGCATATAGCAAATAAAGTACTTTCGAGACTTTTGGTTTGTCAAACATTCTTGCCCCTCCCCCCCCCCCTCCCCCATTTCCCAGACTCTAACTGATTTTATCAAAAAACTCAAAATCAATTTAGCGAAAGTTTTTGACATAACGCAAATATGAATTCGGCTTTTTTTTCAAGCTCGGAAAGCTTGATGAAAATTATACATTCCTGTATAATGGAATTTGCATCCTATAAATAGAAAAAATCGGATCTGGCCTGAATTATAATTTCTTTTTCTTTCTTCCTCATGTTTTTTTTGTTTTTGTTTTGTCTTGTTTTTATTATTTATTTTTAAAATTAAAATTTTACGGCGTGATTGTGTGTGTTTGACATAAAAAAAAACAAACATTTTTTCCCGGAATTATAGGAAATCCTTTGAGGCATCCTTCCTTCTTTATTTTTTCATGAAATAAAAAACAACTTCCGGGTCAGATGTCAGCCGTACACGTTACAGGTGTTGCACAGTTGCCGGTTTTTTGCGTTTAATATTTCCAGATTTGTTATCAATGACGAAGCAAGGATACTGGGGCAAGAAAAAGAAGAAGGGTAGGATATTGGTATCACGAAATTGTAGTATAATGATGCAATTTAAGGGATATGCCTCAAGTAAATGATGCACTCATTCTATATCACATCATAAAATGTACGGATATTTTATGCATGCATTAAATGTCTCCTTAGTTTTAATTGTCATTTAAACAGTTGAAAACTTGAAAGCAATTAATTGCAAACGTATTACAAAATATAATACAATACAATATAATAACTAAAGTATAAGATATCTTTGCAATACTTTGCAATAGACTTCACAGCCAAGTCTGGTAAATGGTTTGTCATTTGAAATATTGTTGCAGGATATTGCTAGTGTTTCAGACCTATAGGGTCTGTTATTGTTTAATAAATGATAACTCAACTTTTGGTTTGAGCTTACACCATTGAAAGAAAAAATCAAAAGTGAAAGTAGACCACAGTAAGTTATCAGATATAAAATAAGTGTGTAAATCTAGAATGCATGCATGTTTATATGAGAAGGAGAAATGTGTAGCTATTTTTTTTATGCCCGCGGATCAAAAGATCCTGGGGATATATTGTTTTTGTCCTGTCTGTTTGGTTGTCTGTCTGTCTGTTGTCAACTTTAACCTAGCCCATAACTATTGCGCTGTCAAGGGTAAAGCTATAATATTTGGTATGAGTATTCATTACGACAAGACGTTACCATTGGTACAGAAATGTTTGATCATTTGACTTCAACTGTGACCTAGACCTACTTTTGAAAAACTTAAACATTGGCCATAACTATTTCACTGTAGTCTACGTCCCACATCAGAATTGTGTTGCCATTGAGGGCATGGTGTTTCACAAACACATCTTGTTTATATTTACTTAAACACTGTATATTCATAGTTTAAAGAATGTATTTGAGAGTGTTTTGATCTTTAAATGCAGAAAATGGTAACAAACAAGAAACAAAGCCCGCCAAACAGACACCTAGTACAGGGACTAAGAAGAGGAGGTGTTGTGGTGCAGGATGTCTGGGTTTTATCTTCTTTGTGTCAGCTGTGATTTGTGGAATCTCACTATTTTTTGAAAGTAAAGATTTCCACAAAAATTTAGGTAAGTACCATGGCAAATTTGAAAGTAATTTCAATGCAGAGACTCTGCAGTATTGTCCTTAACGACGTTCGATCCTGATATTTAAAGTCTTAAACTTTTTTTGCCAAGTATATTTTTAGTTTCTACATACATAGCTTAATTAAAATTCAAATCAAAATACGGGGGTCAATATGCTTCTTTTGGCTCTACAGTACATTTAATATGACCTTTTTGCACTGAAATTTGTGTCTTACTTAAAAATTACATCTTTGATGTTCCACCTCCAATAATTTTATCAAATTAAAGCATGAAACAAAATGAACTCTAAGTCTGTGTAAAAAAAAACACTTTAAAATTTTGACTAAGAAAAAGTTTCAAATTGCTTCGCATATTCAATTATTTGACCTTTCTGCACTAATAAAATGTGATTTTTCTGGCATTGAAAATTTAATAAGCAAGAAAATTATTTTAAAGTCTTAAACTTTTTCTGAAATTAAATAAATAGGTCAAAAATATCTTAAACATTTAGAAAAGAACATCAAAAGTGGGTGTATATGATGTAAATTTTCAGATATTGCTAAAAATGTGTCAATTTTACCTAAAAAAAATGGCTTAATTTTTACCTAGATTTTCAGAATATATTTACTATATTTGTCACATTTCTTTGAAAGAATTCATAAAAAAATAATTTAATAGATATTTCAGAACAGCATAAAACATTTCACTGCAAAAAACAGCTTTGTGTGCAACCAACATGGAAAAATAGGAATCTAAAATTAACAGTACTTTTATAGTTCAAAAGGGAAAAAACTGATCTTTTTCTTCTAAAAAACCTTCCGCCACAAAATATAGTTCCTAGCTTAATTCTACTTGAATGGAATTTTATTGCAGTTTTTTCATTGAATATAGTTCAATTTGCATTATAGAATTCAGATTTAATGTTAGAAGTTAAAAATGATGCAGAATTTTATAAATAAAGGACAGGACCAAAATCCGCTCAAAAGCTCAGGATTGAACACCCTTAAAAGACTCAGGGACCGGGGAATTTCCCCACCTATAATGATGAAATTCCCTGGTTATTTTGTTATTCTGCCTTAACTCCCAATTAGGGGAGGAATCCCAGATTGCCTTCTATTTTCCTAAATTTCCCCTTCTATTTTATATGTAAGGTACAACCCTGTAAAGAGCATAATACTGTAAATCACTTTTTATTCGCGAGAAATTATGTAATTACACGAAAATTTTATTCTCACGTATAATAGTATTCCTTAGGATTATATAGAGCAAGAACCACAATTCGTGAAAATTTTGTCTTGCGTATCAAAAGTCAATGACTATCTCGCGAAAATAAGGTGTCGCGAAAATTTAGTGATCTACAGTATTCATGAGAATAAACAGAATATTTTACAGTTACCATCCCTGAATGTGACCAGCAAATTATTTTTTTATAACAAAAACTTAGACCTTTCACATATTTGTCAACAGATTATGTTGCAAGGCTACATGCTGGGGATGAAGTTGTGGATGCCGTTTACTTGAAAGCCTGGAATATCTGGGAGAGTGTGGAACCTTACGCAATGATAGTACAGGAGAAAGGGATAGAACTCTTTAACAAGGGGAGAGAACTTTTCTACAGAGCCAAAGAAGGTTAATTGTTTTATAATATAAATGTGTAAATCAGGGATTAATAACCATGCACTGAACTTTAAAAAAAAATTTCAAAGTGGAATATCTGGACACAATATGAACATATTATAGTAACATTGAAAATGACGTAAAATTGTGGACACTGAATTCAATCCCAAGGTTTCTTACCTGTTTGTTTGTCAGCCATAGATACAATGATCTCAATTTAATACCGGTTATAATATTGTGAAGAAAACTATATTTTTAAACATAGAAACATTCGAGTATTTGTGCTCAATGAAGTTCGGTTTTTTTTTTTTTGTATTTTTGTGTGAAAGTCAACACTTTCATACTGTCTTGTAATACATATATTTGTATTTTTAAAAAAATGGAAACATGCTGTGAAAATGAGATATATAATAATGTTCAGTTTGATCAGAAGTGAAGAAAAATTCAAATTTTACACAAATTAGGAACATGTATATTAAGCTTAAAGAGTTGTCTGAATTTATTATGAAATTAATTCAATATGTTTAAGTTACATGTATATGTACATATTTTTAGAGAATTTCAAAGAAAAAGAGAGTGCATAATAGATAGATGTGTATGTATATGTGTTTTAAGAATGTAATTGAGTTTTAATTAATTGTTTTTTAAATAAAATAATGAAAACAAATTATGTAAAAAATTGTTTATTAATATTAGTACACTAAATGCTATAAGTATATTACCAGCACTAAACTTCTAGACACTTACACCTTTGACAAACAGAAAATATAACTTGGATAGGAGAATAAAGATGGTTTCAGTATTAACAATTCCAAAGCAAATGAAAGAACGGGAATTTCTTCAGTTCATGTAGGCATTTACAATTGTAATTTAAAATAGAAAAGAATCTAGTTGGCAATGCATATTTTCTAGAAATTGGAAACAAAATAATAAATGTATCAGTATATTGTTACCTTCATTAAACTGGTAAAGGACCTTAAAAAAGATGGGGAATTTAAATTACATGTACTTAATTTGTATTAAGGTTGATACTAGCCTCAGCACTTAAAGTTAACTTTTGGTGGCAGAGTGAAAAATTTTAAAAACTGTCAAATGATCGAATGCTATTTCTGATTCATATAAACGATGGATTTTGTGAATAAAAAAATTCTTCAACACATTAAAGAATTACCATTGCTTGGTAGAATTTTCATGCACAACAAATAGTGGCATATTTTGTAAAAAAAAAAAAAAAAATCTATTTTGTAAGAACTAATCAATTTAGTATTGAACCAATTTTTCTAAAGATAAATAAATAATATTTGAATAATTGTCACTTAAGCTGGCCATAGTATGTAAGGAAAAAAAGGGCAGGATCATTTTTTTAATCAGCCACAGTTGCTACAATGTGAAAACGTGAGTAAATGATAACATCAATGAAGTAATTCATCAATAGTCAAAAATATCAAACAAGCGCAAAAAAAACCTTCTAATTACCATAATCATTTATTAATAATAGAATATTTACGAAAAAAGTTTTTTTTTCCAAAAGCACTGCGTTGAATAATAATAAAAATATTAAAGAGGGTTACACCTGCTGAAATTTTATTATAAATCTATTAGTGACTGCAATATTTAATGATGGAAGTGTAAGTCTTGTTCAACTCGATTAAATACAGTCAAAAATATATGTCTCATGTAAGTACATAAAAAAATTTGATCATGATTTAAACTGCATGATTCTACATTATCAAATTTAATATAGCTAGAAACAGATTCATATTTTATTTGCTTTTTTTTAGGTATTGAAGATTTACTAAAAGACAAAAAAGCAGAAGAAGAAAAAGCTCGGAAGGAAAAATTAGCTACTGAGAAGAGGTTGGAAGAAGAGAGAAGAAAAGCTGAAGAAAAAAGAGTAGCAGAAGAAAAGAGGAAAGCAGAGGAGAAAAGATTGGCTGAGGAAAAGAGGAAAGAAGAAGAAAGATTAGCTGAGGAAAAGAGGAAAGCAGAGGAAAAAAGATTGGCTGAGGAAAAGAGGAAAGCAGAGGAAAAGAGATTGGCTGAGGAAAAGAGGAAAGCAGAGGAAAAAAGATTGGCTGAGGAAAAGAGAAAGGCTGAAGAGAAAAGGTTGGCTGAAGAAAAGAAAAAAGAAGAGGAGAAGAGATTAGCTGAGGAAAAGAGGAAAGAAGAAGAAAGAAAAGCAGAAGAGAAAAGACTGGGAGAAGAAAAGAGAAAGGCTGAAGAAAAAAGGTTAGCAGAGGAGAAAAGAATTGCAGAAGAAAAGAAAAGAGGAGAAGCAGAAGAGAAGAAAAGGAAGAAAAAGAAGCAGAAAGAAAGAGCAGAAGAAAAGAAAAAGAGAAGAAAGCAGAAGAGCAAAGATTGGCAGAGGAGAAAAGAAAAGCGGAAGAGAAGAGGAAAGCAGAAGAAAAAAGAATTGCAGAGGAAAAAAGATTAGCTGAGGAGAAGAAAAAAGCAGAGGAAAAAAGGAAGGAGGAAGAAAGAAAAGCAGAGGAAAAGAGAAAGGAGGAGGGAAAAAGAATTGCAGAAGAAAAGAAAAAGGCAGAGGAGAAAAAGAAAACTGGAGAGAAAAAAAGTGATGAGGATAAAGAGAAAGAAGAGAAGAGAAAAGCAAAAGAGGATAAAAATGTTGAAGCAGAAGTGAAAAGGTTGGAGGAAGAATTTAGGAAACATGAGGAAGAGAGACAAGCTGAGGAGAAGAAGTTGGCAGAGGAAAAGAAAAAAGAGGAAGAGAGGAAGTTGGCAGAGGAAAAGAAAAAAGAGGAAGAGAGGAAATTGGCAGAGGAAAAGAAAAAAGAGGAAGAGAGGAAATTGGCAGAGGAAAAGAAAAAGGAAGAAGAGAGGAAATTGGCAGAGGAAAAGAAAAAAGAGGAAGAGAGGAAATTGGCAGAGGAAAAGAAAAAGGAGGAAGAAAAAAGACATGCAGAGGAGAAAAGGAAGTTGGAAGAGCAGCAAAAAGCAAGTGAAAAGAAAAGGCAGGAAAAAATAGAGGAAGAAGAAAATGTCAACTATGAAAAGGCGTCATATCCAAAAAGGGACATAACCAATGATGAGGATTACATGATAAGTGACTTGCTTGATGTTGGAGATGATTACATACAGCAGGTATCATTTGCTTTCACATCTTTTTCTTTTTTAAACTAATTTTCTTCAATTTAATAAGTTACCTTTAGGAGGACATCTAGATTTTGATCTATAACCTACAAGTTGCTATTTGAAATAATGTATCATGATTATTGTCCAATACTTTTTCTTCAGAACCATTCAGATCATATTTTGTTTTACACTCTTTAATCAGAAAAGCTTACCTTTGGTCTTCAGCTGTAGTAAGCCAAAATTAACCAGTTATACAATGTTCTGCAAGTATTTATGAATACACATAATAGATTAAACATATAAAAAATATTATTCATATTTTCACTCTTTACAGAAAATGCTGGATGAAGCCAAAGATCATTTTGATCATCTGTTATCTGAGTATCCACACAGTCCACGAGCCATGTACAGCAAAGCCCTCACACTTGATAGACTGGCTGAGCGAGAGAGGAGCAACAAATTGCTGGAGGAATGTATAGGAATGTTGCAGAAGACGATGGATGCTAAAGATGCCCCTGACAAATTGGTGAAACAAGCAGGCTTGATGCTAGGAGAAAAATTAACTTTTAGAGGTAAACTTTAGGTGGAAAGATTAATGAATGCTGTGAATTTACATAATTATACATGTATGTGTATATGATTTCAGTAACATATTGTTAAAGTAGAAATGTTCTGTGAATTAAATTTTACATTTAAGTGTCATGGATAAGATATACACTACAATAGTTGGGTTTATTATTAATTTTAAAAAAATGAATTATCAAAAGTGAACCACAAATTATTTTTAAGTATAAACATAAAATTTTAGCCCCATAATTATTTTTATTTGTAAACATCCTAAATAAAAAAGTAGATCAACTATGATAGAGGTTCTTTTTTTCCAAATATTTTTTGTGAAAATGAATGTTTATTCAGCATGAAGAATTGAAAGTAGAATTTTCTATTTTCAGGGTGGATGTCCAAGGCAGCCAGTACATATGAGAGTCTGGTCAACAAGTTCCCCTCAGACCTCAGTCTCAGAAATAAGCTGGGTGTGGCCTACATGATGATGGGGCAGAATGAGAAAGCCAGAAGAGTGTTCTCTGATGTAACGTTAATTTTTTTATCGTCTCTGTAGAAAAAATGATTATGTATGAACATCATGTGAATTTCTTTGAAATGCATGATGAATTTTGCCAAACAGTTTTATAGTTGAGATGCAATAATTTGGTCACTTATTTTACATGCATTTTATTATTGGGGTGCAAGAATAAAACATTGTTAATGAAAGATATCATATAATTATAGAATTTGAAACAGACATCATCAAAGTATCGTTATGAGGCTTTCCTGGCGAAGCCGTGACTAAATGATTTTCTTCAAAAACATTTAGAATGTGTTTAAAGGGACTTCCCAAGAACTTCTGAATATCCATGATATTTGAGATATCCATGTTGTGGTAATGATCTTCAGCTGTAAATATGTCTATAGATATATTTTTATACATGTACTGAGGCATTGTGGATTAGAATGCTGTTCAGTCATTTTAACCATATCATTGTCAGTTTAATAATCTCTATATACACATTAATAAAGATACAATATAAATTGTCTC